AGGGTGAGAGTGGATTGCTCACAGGAATGGGAGGTCAATGAGGACATGACATGGAAAGTGGTTTTTGAGATTGAAGAAAGAAGTGGGTTGGGCTATCGACAGGTTTGCAAGGGATGAGTTGGGCAGGCAGCTGAAAGCTTGTGTTGAGATAGAGTTCTTTAATATGGAGGAATGATATATAATTATTTAATTTGATTTCATACTTGTTATCTCAGGATGCCATAAAGAAAAGAAGTAAGTCTGGTAAATGTAAGAAAACCAGAATTTAGAAGTGTTGCACATTTATGTAGAAGGAAAACATACACATTAATTTCAGATGAGAAGAAAAGTGCAACGACTCTCGATCTCGGCCATTTCTTGGATTTATTTTGTAATTATATATAATTTGTATTATAAAGTATTCATCTACATTTTCATTTAACCATGAATAATATAAATATTCAGCTTGCAGTCTCCGGATGTAATTCTACATCCGAACACAGCACAAAAAATAACGAGTACAGCGTTCTAATTTTTGCAGTGTCCGGATGTAATTCTACATCTTAACTCCGCACGTAACATTATTCCTTGTAAGGAGCTCAGAAAAATTGGAGCTATTATTCATTACATTGAAGGAAGAAATCAAAACAAGCTGCTTTTGGCAATATGCTGCTATTGATTTGAAGCCATTCCATCTCTCCTAATGCAACAAAACTGGATAAGAAGTTTAGTTGAAGTGTGATGTTCAGCTACGCCGGTAATTTCTGTAGTCCTGCTGCTGCCTGATCATCTAAACATATCTCATTTTCCTTCATTTTAGTTGCGTCTTCAGGACTCTCCAAAAGAAAAACAGCTTTGAGAAACTCATATGAAGCGAAGAAAATTGCTCCTTGAGAGACATACATAGCTAACCTTGGAGTTAAGCCCCTGAAAATGAAATGTCAAACCAATTAATTTAAGCAAACTTGATGGGGAACATCAGGGGTACATTCCACAGGTTTAGTAAGAAATAGGCACACCTGTATAGACCCTGCAAGCCTTCTTGTCTGGCAATTTCTTGAAGCGCATGAAAAACACCATGATATTTTCCAATAGATCCAGGAGGCTGCATAAAATAAAAAGGTCATTAGATTCACTGAATCTAAAATGATTATGAGCAAACAAAAGTTAAACTGTTTTAGTTATTTTGGGGAAAGGTAAGGCGAGAAAATGAGAGAAATCAAAGGTCAATTTTGGTGGAGATTAGTGAACTAGTCCTCCACTTTACTTTTCTGAAATGAAGAACAACACAGAAGAGTGCATTTCACAGCAAAAGCATTTTTTTTTCTTTTAAACAACTG